CATTTCTTTTTTTTTTCTTTCATTTTTTGATCTGATGAAACCAAGAAATCTAGATTCAATGAAACGTTTTTCCATTTGTCATATTTCTTCAAACATTATATTTATATATATATATATATATATATATATATATATATAAGACATTTTTTTATGTTTATACGTTCGTTTTATAGATTATAAAATATTTAAGTAAATGCTCTGTTTGTAATAAACAGTATTAACAACATTTACCGGCCTGAATGTCCGAGAAATTTTCATAGAAAATATGCGTCGTCCGACAGGAATCGAACCTGTATCCTATACGGAAGCCGTCTCCGCTAACGCAACGCTATTCAGTGAAAGTAAATTGAGCACTATGGCTGTCTGGTGTTTGTTTACATTCGTAAAAAATAATACGCTAGAATTTCCCTTTCATTCTGCCGTGCGTTGATAGCTCATGGGTAGCATCGCCGACTCATGCCAAATCGGTCGGGTTTTGATCCCAGCTTGAAGCAATCGGATGTCTAGCCGCATTGATGAGTTGTGATACAGCGAAACAGGCCTGTATGTGGATGGATGACATATATATATATATATATATATGTGTGTGTGTGTGTGTGTGTATAAAGCAATGTGACACAGAGATTAACACTAAATGGCAGCAACCTGCTTCATGCTTGAATGCAATCTCCAGGCCAGTTTCTGATTTTATTGTACCATTCAAATGAAAGAACAAAGACCCCATTTCAACAATGACATATCTGAAAAAAATATCATTAATATTGAAAAGATCTTTAAAGTTCAAGTTCTTTATTAGTCATGAATAGGGAATATTATCAAATGCCTTTTTGTATCCTCTCTACGCAAGATCTTTATGTTTGGCCTGAAGATTGTATTCAATCATGAAACAGACTCTCGTCATACGGTGTTGATCTCTGTATCAACACTGCTTACATTTACGTCCAAAATATTGAGCACTTTTACCCCATAAATATAGCATACCATAAAATTATATTTTATCATAAATTAAAAAATATAAACATCTTCCATGGATTAGAGAAACATTAAAATGGAAAGTACGGTTAAGATCTCAAAGAATATGAAGATGTGAAAAGTAAATCAAATTCTTCATGCAAATAGAATATTTCAGACAGATGCAAAAAAAAAAAAAAAGATATTCTACTGAGTTGTAGTAAAACAGGAAAATGTAAAGATTCTTGATAAAATTTAAAAAATAATCTCCAATGTTACCAGTACTGCTCAAACATCTCGGTTTCAGTCACTCTTCCTCTGTTGTAACAGCTTCCCTGTGCTTTTTCTATAAATATTTTCATGAATAATTGTTCTGATAAGATTTGTTAACTTCATGAATTTAAGCTCAGTACTAGATTGGTGGTAAGGTCTTATCTTCTTACAGTCGAAATTAATTAATATAAATTAATTAATTAATAGATGTAATTAAGTTCCATGCTAACAGTTTCTTCTGCACTTCTCACTTCTGAAACTCTTTCGACTTCTTGCTTTCCTGTCAACTACGATCTTCAAAAATTTAAATGCAATGCCAATTGTCATTTTCTGTCTCCTTCAATCCTGTTCTTTTATTGTCCTCTCTGCTCAAAAATGTATTTCTCAGATTTCCATTTTCTCAAAAACTTCGCAATTGCTCACATGTTCAATCCACGATATTCTCAGCATCCTTCCATAGAACTACATTTCAGTTGCCTCAAGTTTCTTTATCTGTGAGATTGTCCAGCATGCACTGCCATATAGGAGGACTGATATTACCTAACAGTTCAGTTCTCTTTGTTTTTAACAAAATTTTCCTGTTCCTTAATACTTTACTTAGCTTTTGGAAGGCATTTTTCATTATCCCAATGCACCTTCTGATTCCGGTATTGCGCATTCCGTCCTCACTTCTTAGATATTCAATACTCGACAACACCAAATATCTCTTATCAGTAACCTCTTAAAATTGTCTAGGTGCTATCAGCGCCACCTTTCATATGCTGTGATTCTTCAGGATTTGAGCAATCATGACTCTCCACAAGCGATTTGTAGCGATTAGCAATATTTGTCTTTTTACTATCCCTTCCAATCTTTGTTTTGCCATTTTACACAAGCTGGCTTAGGTAGGTCACCCACTGTTTCGCTCTAACCCACTTGTCTTTTTTTTTTTACTGCTTCTGACCACGCTGTTAATGTAGATCTTTATTTTCATGTACCGTGTTCTTTCCGAACGTAGACAATCATGTCTCTCCACCTGCCCCTATCTCTTGTAGCTCTAAGTTTCGTGCCTCTGTCAACTCCCCCCCCCAGACCACGCTCTGCCATCCACTTGCTTAAGCCCGCCAGGTATGTCATGCGTTGCTTTCCCTTGTCTCTCTTTCCCTCTATTCGACCTGTGAGTAGCAGATTCTCCAGGCCCTCCTTCCTCCTTCCATGTCCCAGAAATTTCATCTGCCTTTTCCTAATGTCAAGTAAAAGCTTCCTTCTTGTTTGTAGCATCTCCAAAACCTCATCGTTGCTCACACACTCGGTCTATCCTTAGCATCCTTCTGTAGAAACACATCTCTGCTGACTCGAGTCTCTTCTTCATCTTTGAGGAGACCGTCCAACATTCGCTGCCGTATAGGAGGACAGATGTCACGTAGCAACTCAGTACACTTTTCTTTGTCACCAAAGAAATCCTCCTGTCTCACAGTACTCTGCCCAGCTTTTGGAATGCATCCTTGGCCATGACAATCCGTCTTCAGATCTCAGCATCGCACTTACTATCCCTTGTCAAAACATTTCCCAGATATTTAAACTTCTGCACATGCTTGATTTTAGTGTCCCTGACCTGCAAATTGCATTGCAGGCTCATTCTTTACTGATGACCATGCATTCTGTCTTCTTGGAGTTTATGGTTAGTCTCTTCTTCTTGCTCTTCCTCTCACTACATTTTGTAATTTCTTTTCCATGTCTGCTCTCAGTATTGTGTCAGCTGTGTATCTTATTGTGGTTGCCAATGCTGAATCCTGGTAGGATCTCCAATCCTCTCTGAAGTGCCTTGCTGTATAGGTTGAATGTCTGGTGAAAAGACATATTCCTTATGCCCCTTTATATTTTTGTATATTCGCTAGACTCATTCTCAATGTGCATGCATGCCATTTACTGCCAGCATAGATTCTTGATTATTCTAATATCTTTCCCAAATATATCAAGCTCGCTGAGCAGTTCCAGCAGATCCTTGTGACATACTTTGTTGAATGCCTCAAAAGTTCACTTAACCATTTTATCAATGATTGTGCCATGACAATAACACTTTCCTCATTGAATGTTTTCTGCTGATTTGTTCAAAATTTCATAAATTCCTGGGAAGCAGATATTAGTAAACAAAACTTGCAAAACATAATCATGCTGTAGAGAGTTTAATTCCTCACCTTTGTGGCCGTATATATCATGCTAATGGTCCTAAACCAACTGGTCAGACAAAGAATTACTCATTGCCACTGGTGCTATTAACCTGTCACATTATGTGAAGAGATGATATGATCAACACTGATTAATTACCACAAACAACACAATAAAGACTCCCAGCAAAATAAACTTATAAAAATCATAGGATAATTTCATTGAAAGAAAATATGATTTCTCAAAATCTTGCAGTGTCACAATGCACATCATTGAAAGAAAATATGATTTTCTCAAAATCTTGCAGTGTCACAATGCACATCATTGAAAGAAAATATGATTTTCTCAAAATCTTGCAGTGTCACAATGCACATCATTGAAAGAAAATATGATTTTCTCAAAATCTTGCAGTGTCACAATGCACATCATTGAAAGAAAATATGATTTTCTCAAAATCTTGAGTGTTAATGCACATCATTTTGATTTTCTCAAAAAGTGTCACAAACATTGAAAGAAAAATTCTCAAAATCTTTTCACAATGCACATCATTTTGATTTTAAAGAGTGTAAATTGATTTTCTCAAAATCTTTGTCACAATCCCCAAAGGAGGTTAATGATATTTTGCAATGAACAATTATTTCTAATTTTGTTTAAAGATTAAATTGATCTTGTCCCTCATTCAAATTGTGAACATTAAACCAAAAGAAAAGTTTAGAAATTAAAAAAAATTATCAATTATAGTTTTAAGAATTTTATTTTATTACTATCATTCAAATTTGGTCAAATTACAATGAATCCAAATAAAAAAAAATTCATTATTTGTAATTATATGTAATTAATATGTTTATATTGAAGTTTTGATACAACATTAGAATTTTTCATTTTTAGAGAAATTAAAAAATATGAAAATACAATTTCTTTTAGACATTAAGATCAATCTCCATACAACCAAAAGTATCTCATTTTCATAATTTTTTTTTTTTTTTTTTGAGGAGGCAGATATATTTATTCATTTTATATGAAGGCAGAATCCAATCTTTCGTTTGCATTGTTTTATGTTTTTTTTAAATCAACCAAAATTGGAACAAAGCATTTTTTCACATTATTTGTGGCAATGAGTAATATTAAAAAAAGTAGGTATATAATATGTGACTCAGAAACTTTTTATTTCGATATTTTTATGCAATTTAACCCCTGACCAATATGATGCAGGTCAATCTGCCCAGATGGTTACTCAGGTTTTGATTTAGGAAGATTCAAGACAAAAGTATTTTGCCTATACCCTTATCACGATTAGACACAATAAGACTTAGTCTGGCACAAGGCCAAATATATAAGTATTTCCAAAACAGAGAAAGAAATCAAAGTAAATAAAGCAAAAAGAAATCTAACAGATCTTAATAACATCATTTTATAAAACATTTTCTTTTTGTTTGACAAAATGTAAATATGAAAGGCTTTAATTTCATCACAGGCAGCTTCTTGGTTTGATCCTTGAAATTAGTCGCCAAAATGAAACTGGACCCACAACCAAAAATGGAATGAAACATTAATTCCATATTCCATGTTGCACTTTTCACCAAAAGCCATTTGCAAAATAGTTGAGTGTTCAAATGCAGGAAGAGGATTCAAGCAGAGCGCACAGGCCTGTCTCCAACACCATGGCCAATGTCATACACCTTTTCACAGACAGCAAAACTGAGCTGTTTCACTTCATCCTGAAGAGAAGAAAAATTGTTGACATTAATTACAATTTTTATACATCTTTTTCTTATTATTTACAATTTTGTACATCTTTTTCTTATTAATTACAATTTTGTAAATCTTTTTCTTATTAATTATAATTTTTTACATTTTTCAAGAAAAAAATTCTAATAAAAAAAATATTTGTCTTAATTTTTCAGACAAGTTGCGGATACAACTGTTACCATCACACAATGATTCTTTCATACCAATATTTGTCACGTACTTATTACATTTTGGTCACACTAATCTGTCTGAATTTCTCAAAGTGTTGCTAATATACATTTATTGAGGTTTTAGCCACTATAGTTTCCAATTTTCTCTCTGGCTAAATTTCTGAGAAACTATTCTTGCTATTATATAATAGAGGCGGCACAGCGGAGTAATGGATAGTGGCTTGGATTGAGGAATCAGAGAGCCAAGTTTGAATTCCATTTAAATCCATTACATTCACTTACGTGCTAATACCCTTGGGAAAGGTATAAATCCTCTTCTTCTCACCCCCAGCTATGGGTAAATAGCAAGACAGACCGGTTTCTATAACCTTGGATGGAAACTGGTCTACCGCAGAAAGAAATGGCAACCTACTGCAGGAAAAAAACTGCCTTGTCAGTCATATATCAAAAGATACATGATCGCCTAAGTGTGTATCACACATGGCACATAACTGACTATTATATAATGATGTGTCAAAAGTCATGTGATAGATACCGAGTATTGTATAGGACCTCCTTTATCCAGGTGAAGTTCAACATCTGAATATGACATCAATTCAACAAGTGGTCAGAAGAGATATTGAACTATGTCATCTCGACAGCTATCCACCAATCTCTGATGTGCAGGAATATTTGGGCAAACAGACCTCTTCACCATGTCCCATAGACACTTGATTGGGATCACATCAGGCATACATGATGGTTACATCATTCATCAGAAATTTCCAGATTGCTCCTCAATCTAATTCTGGAAGACTTTGTGCATTATCCTGCTAGAATAGCCCATTGTTGTTAGGATTTACAGAGACCATCTATGTTGAAAATGGTTATGAAGCAATGCAACATCACTGTTACTGGTCATTGAGATGTCTAGATGGATTAACAGACCCAACCCATACCACATGAATAGACATCCTATTATTGACCCACCACCCACTTGTATGGTACCTTGTTGACAACTGAGATCAATGGCTTCATGGGGTCTGTGCTACAACCATACCCTATCATCATCTCAAAACAACTGAAGCTATTACTTATAAAACCAAACCACACCACACATTGCCAATACTCTAGGGTCCAGTTAGTGATGACACAAGCCCATGTGCGGCATTGTGTCTAGGGACATGGTGTTAACAGGGAAAGCTTAAGAATGTCAAACTGACCTGTTATATAAGCATCCAGTACCTATTGTACTGAATGTGGAAAGGATTTGAAACAGTGTCACTTGTCTATTACCACATGACAGCCAGACATATCTAGACATGATAATTAAGGACTTGTGGTCAGCCACAGTGCTGTCAATAGTGGGTAGTAATGCTTACCTTCCATCAGCTATTCTTGATACACAAAACACTATAGATAAAGTGATGTCAAATGCCTACAATTTCAGAAATGGAATATCTGTTTGGCTTCTGCAATAATGTCTTCTTTGAACTCTGATAATTCCTATTGTTTAGCTGGTGTCAGAGCACAGCCAATATACATTTGGCCAGTTACAGGACATCAAAGTGTGGTGGAATCACCTATCATTACTATTCTTCCATGGTTATTTGGTACATTGAGTCTTTTGATCCAGCTTCCTTGTCTGGCTTTTTATTACATTTTCATTATTATACTTGGTTATCTTTGTTTAAATTTCACATAAAAGAAGTTGTTACTATTATATAATTAATCTGCCGGGCCAACTGCCTTGTCTTTGTTGTTAGCAATTTTTGGCCACTGCATTTTCCAGCCTTCCCCCCTCCAAGTATTTGCCACATTCAGTAACATTTTGTGAAAATCAAACAGAACTGTCTATTTGACTTTAGTGCAATACCTGAAGACCAGAAGGAACATCAGTCAACATATCATGAAAACACAGACAGAAAGACAGACAAACACACAAAGGGTCATAAAAATACACCTGCTGATTGCTCAAAAATAATTTACTTTTAATTGGGGTTTTCTCTAAAAAGTATAGGTTACCAACTACGACTTGCAGATCATTACGACTGCAGTGAGTTTCATGCTTAATAAGTGTTCTGGACTAAAACAAGCTTAGTAAATACCTTTGTTTTATAGATCAAATATTTATTGTGAAGATCCATCCACACTTCCACTTCTGATAGCCACACATGTGCAAAATTGAAAGACCAAGGCTAGTAAAATTTAAGTTTTGCATCTTGCAGGTTTGGGGGACATTTATAAAATTAGCAAGGTTAATCTGGGATACTAATGAGAAAAAAAGCTAATCCAAAATTTGGAAACTTAATCCCATTTTGTATTTGTCCAGTTCAATCTGGCAACCCTTTACAAATGCTCTATTTTGGAGAACAAAGTGCTAATGAAGTCCTAAGTTTCCAGTGATAAAAGTTTGCAAAATTTTCAGCAACAGTTAATGAAAGAAACTAGCTTAGAATATTCTATCAATGATAAGCATCCACTTATATAAACAACTGATCTTAAAAAAAAAAGAAAATATCAGTAATATTAATAGCATCAAAGAAATAGACTTCAAGAGATTGCGTTTGCTTCATATAAAATAACTGATACATAAAATGTGGTTTTACTTTTTAAAAATCAAAACCTTTGCACTTATTTGCCAAGGACATAATTATCATTAGTAACAACATAAGCTCACTGTAAAAACTAATTCTTTATTCACATGTTGAATAAATGTGTGATTGTTGTAGGAGTGGTGACCTGTCAACATCTAAGCCCAAGCTCCATCTATGTGTGGCACAATTTACCAAGGCAGAAAAAGAAAAGAAAGAAAAGAAAGAAAAGGAGAGGCGAAGACCCAAAGCGTGGATGATAAGCAGAACACCGCGGCTAAGAGACAATGGATAAGGGATATTTTGCTAAGTAACAAATGGCGAAAGAGTGTCATTACAATGGCAGGGAAATTCTGAGTGGATAAAGGAATCGGGTGTGTTCTGGCGTCAGGCTGTGTTATCTGGGATACATAAACAAACCGCTGGTGGGGGAAAGCATCTGATTAAGGAAACCCCAGACGACTAGCCAAAGAAAAGTCCAATTGAAAATGTTTATTTTGATAATTGACAAAACACAGGTGAAACTACAGGGCTTTGGATAGATATGAAAAATTGTGTCAAAAGCCACACACGATGTGTCCACTGACCGATTTCTTTCGACGGAACATCTTTAGCCTGCGATAATAAAACTGTGTTATCAGAAATATGTACCAAAAAAAAAATGAATGGGAACTTAGAAATGTTTCTTTTCGAGGCGATGGTCTGGCAGTGTTAAAAAGACCACCCATTCTGATAATTAGCGATAAGATGACTGACGAAGTCCAGGTGAGGACAAGAGTTATGACCACCATCGTTCGTATTGTTCTGTTTGCGGCTAGAGAAAATGATAACTGCGATTAAAAGAAATAAAATTAAAAGAAAAGATAATTTTTTTTTTGTTAAGCAAGATATTTTTTTTTTCCTGAAACAAAGCCGCGGAATCGTACACGCCCGGCTAAAACATCATTGGTCGAGTGGTGATCACGTGACGCAAGGTGGAGGTTGTCACCGCCCATCTAGAGGATGGGTATGAGAGGTTGCTACGAAGAAGTGGGGAGGGCAGTTCACGCCCCTCTGAAGTATGGTGAGAAGGTGGGAGTAAGAGAAGGCTCCCAAAAATGGAAAAAGTGGAAAATTCCTAACCAGAAATAAAAGAGGTGGATATGTATTTAGAATTATCGAGGACCCCCCAGCGCCGACAAACCCACCCCGGTTTTGGTCGGCGTCCATATAAGCGAAGTCGCAGCGAGCAGAAATCAGTTAAGTTTCAGTTGAAGTGGAGTTGCAGTTTCAGTTCAGGTTAAGTTGGTTCTGCCTCGCAGATAGCTGACTTGAAAGATTCACGCAAATTCTGGACTCCTCTTCAATCCAAGAACAATTAATTTGAAGAGCGACTTAGATCCAGACCACCAGAATAAGTTTTTTTTTCGACTTTCGCCCGAAGACACACCGAAAAACCAATTTCTTAAAGAGCAAACAACTAATAGCGTTAAAACTCGCCTAACGGAAAACAACGTGTCACAATCCATAGAACGGGTCGGGAAATAGACGTAGTCCTATGTATCCAACAACTAGACATAAAGTTTGTTATCCTTTTTTTTGATATCTTGAATTTTTGAGTTATCATTTTATTTTATTTTATGCATATTTGTGTGGTGTCACCCCCGTTGAACCCGATTTGCATTACAGCCCCAACTACTGATTGATCTCGTCTGCCTAAGATCAATTCACGATGTGGGTGGGCAGACTGGAGATCAATGCAGTTACTTTGGTAACCAGGCATTGGAAGCGAGTTGGGAATGACGAGGCTGATATCGAATCTAACCAGATTCCCATCCGAATCACCAAAAGGTTAGAACATCACATTTGGGTGCCGTGACCGATACCAAGCCAGTTGGTCGTCACAGGACGAGACAACACGACTGACGCGACAGGCGGACATCACGTTTGGAGCGGCGACACCCGAACGGAGCAGCGAGGAGCGAGCGAAGGCTGTGTTTAGGGACGTCGCCGCTGGCGCTGCGACAAGGACGTCACATATGTAAGGACTTGGTAAGCAGTTAATATAATAAATTTTGGTCTGTTATTAGTTACTAGGAGACAAGACAATTATTACTGATCTATATGAAGAACAAGTGGGAAATGAAAACTCACACACACACAAATAAATAAATCTATAAAGTATTAAGAAACATTCTTTATGATGACAATAGAAGTAAATTATGAGTAAAAATCAACTCTAATCTA